TTTAGAAGATGTTTCTGAAGCCTTAATGTTTTTTAGTCATCTAGATAAACCAAAGATTTTCCTTAATAATAAAGTTATATTAAAAAACCCCAAACTAAACATTGATAATCTTATAAGATTAGCTGAAATCACAGAAATTTTAGGTGAAAACCCCCAGAAACACTGGTATAAAAATAAAATTGATGCAAAATTAAATATAATAAATCCTTTTATAACTATAAAGACACAAGATAATCCTCATACCTTAGACGATCAAGAAGAATTCCAAAAACAAATTAAAGAACTGCTATTACTAAAAGTAATACAAAAAAGTAATAGTAGACATAGGAGTCCAGCTTTTATGGTTCGAAATCATGCCGAAATAAAAAAAGGAAAGGTTCGTATGGTTTTAAATTATAAACGATTAAATGATACTACTTATGATAATAGTTATAAAATCCCTAATAAAGATATTTTAATAAATCGAATCTAAGATAGAAAATGGTTTTCTAAATTTGACTGTAAATCAGGATTTTGGCAAATCCGTATGGCTAATGAATCAATTGAATGGACCGCGTTCACATGCCCGGAAGGACATTATGAGTGGTTTGTTATGCCTTTTGGATTAAAAAATGCGCCACAAGAATTTCAGCGTAAAATGGATACTATATTTAATAAACACTCAAAATTCTGTTGTGTTTACATCGACGATATTTTAGTCTTCAGTCAAACTAAAGAAGAGCATAGAAAACATCTTGAACTTATATTCAACGAGTTTATAACACAAGGACTCATTATAAGTAGTAAAAAGATGATATTAGAAAAACAAGATATTGAATTCTTGGGTTTATACATAAAAGATGGAAAAATAGAATTATAATCTCATATTGTCAAAAACATTTTAGACTTTCCTGATAAATTAGAAGAAACCAAGTTGTTACTTACATTTTTAGGATTATTAAACTATGGTCGTAATTTTATTCCCAAATTAGGACAATTAGTAGGATCTTTATATTCAAAATTAGGAAAACACAGTAAAAAATATTTCAATACCCAAGACATAGAGTTAGTTAAGAAAATTAAATCTTTAGTCTCTCAGTTAGAACCTTTACAGCTCCCACTTGAAAAAAGTTATAAAATTATTCAAACAGATGCATCAGCTCAAGGATGGGCAGGGTTACTTCTTCAAAGACCAACAAAAGAATCTTCTCGAGATGAAGAACAAATATGTCGCCATGCTAGTGGAATTTTTAATAAAGCACAATCTACTTTACCCTCAACAGATCTAGAAATTTTAGGATTGACCAACTCTATAGAAAAATTTCAGATATTTCTTGATAAAGAATTTCTTATAAGAACAGATTGTGATAACATAGTAAAATTTGCAAACAAAGCAAAGCAACAATGGATGTCTGCAAAATTATGGATTTCCTTTATTGATTGTATTACTGGAAGAGGTTTTAAGCCCATATTTGAACATGTTAAAGGAAAAGACAATTATTTAGCAGATATTCTATCCCATTTACTAATTGATTGTTAAATTTTGCAGGAATGGAAATTAAGAGCAACAATAGCTATAACCTTATACCAGGCACTTCTAATCGTCTTTTGATTATCCAAAACCCAACTCAACAGTTCCACGCTAGACATAATCTTTTTCCCGACCAAAAACTTATTTTAGATAATATTTAGTTTTCTAGAAACAACCCCGATAGAACCCTCGTCAGAAATCTAAACACTTTAAGTGAATATTTCGTATCGTCTAATAAAGCGTATCAGAATTTGCAGCAAGAACATGAGACTCTTATATCTCATTATAAAAAGTTAAATTTAGCTTATCAAAAGACGACAGCAAATCCCACAGAACTAACTATTTCTGAGCAATGGACTGATGAAGATGAAAATCTTCAGAAGGTTCAATTTCTGCAGGTACAAACCAAGTATGCCAAGTTATTACCCATGTTTTCTCCTACATACAGATAAGAAGTTGAGCTCTTTCCAGAAGACATCAAAGAACTTATCCTTGAAGAAATTAAGTCCGATGGGCTTAAGGAATGGATTGATATCCAAAATTACCTCAAAAACAACAGTCCACCCAAAGGAACTCGTTATAACTATACTTTCATAAGATTAATACAAACAGGCACTGACATACCAATAGCCATTATCTTGTTAGATGTAGATCCTATTTTCTTTATTTCTTTTGAAATAACTAGAAATACCCTTTTCTCTACCAAGACAACCATTTGTTATTTAAGCAAGCTGTAAGAACTAGGAATGATCTATAGTGTCACCATACCGAAGGATACTCCCTTAAAATATCTAAATTCTTTATGTAATTTTCCCAACCGTTTAAACCAAGCCATTGCCTTCGAACAGAAACTAACTCAAAATCCAATTCTCCTTCAAATCCATAGCACTCCTCCATAATAGGTAAAAGATGAAGCTATAATTTTGGGACAACATCTTATTTACATTCATTCTGATCCAACTAAAGTCAAAATTCTTACCCAACATGTTGATTTTGTAAATAACTTTCGTAATGAGATAGAACCAGCTACCTTTAACCATTTGGTATACTATAAAGCCTATCGACAAATCAACACAAGCTACAATCCTGGTTTCAGAGTCTATGATCATAATATTAACATGGAAATTTTTGTTAAAGCAAGAATTCCTCATGTCATTAAGTCCCCTCCAGAGATTGAGATCTCCCCAAAAGTTGAAGAAATAATAAATGAAGAAAAGATGTTGTTAGAACAGTTTGATCTTGCCTATAGAAATGAAGAAACCAGCTCACCAGACAGTACTGATGAATACCTGGCCTGCAGGCATACTAGAGCAAGAGTTGACAGTCCAACAGATAGCACTACCGACAGAAATTTGTCTAATATGCAAGAATTCTAGTGAAAAACAAATTCTCCACAGTATACAGGAAAAAGCAGCTTCAGCATTCAAGAAAAGTAGATTCTCAACAGTGTACAGTTAAAAGTAGATCCACTAAAAGCAGATTCTCAACAGCAAAAGTAGATATAATTCTCCAGAAGAAGACATCAACAGTTCAGCAATAATTCATGTCATTTTATCTCTAAAGCATCTTGAATCTCAACCATCCATGCAGCATTTTCAAGCTCAACCGCCGATTTATCCCTCTCTTCTGCTATAAAAGGAGTCTCTCTGCTCAAGTAAAGATGATCGAGAGTTTTAAGAGCAATCAAGTCTAGAATTGTCAAGCTTTTCTGCAGTTTCCAGTGTGTTTCTTTTGTGACTTCCTTCAGTTTCCTTTATTTCTGAGTGTTCTCTTTTTTGTAAAATATAGTGTGAAAGTGTATCCATGTATAAACAGTGTGTATCCATGTATATATTTCTTATAAAATAAATTCTCCAGTTTGACTTATTCAAAACCTCCTAATCCCAAGTTAGTATTTTCAGTACTTTCGGGCAAAAGACTTTGGTGGACAAAAAGATCTAATATATAGATTTTATTTAGTCAGACAATGTAGATCCTAGAATTTTCTTGAATCCAACCAGTACAAACAGCATTAGTTTTAATTTAACAATTTCTTCAGTGAGTTGACTCAACCTGTTGACTTGTTGGCCTGTTCTTTGCCGGTGTTCAGGCGTTTCTACAGGACGTTATCAGGTTCGTTAGTCATTTCTGTGATTTAATTGTTAAATTTATTCTATGTTGTCTTGCATGCTTCTATTCGGTTGGATCCAACTTAATTTTGGTATCAGAGCTTATACTGTTTCGTTAAATTTAATTTAGGGTAAAGTACAGCTACACTCCTTGAGGTTTGAGAAAGTGACTGTAGGATGAAACTTATCTATTTTTTGGACAAAGATACCCCCTGAAGGTTCAAAAATGGACAAAAGTACCCCTTTACATGAAAAATTGACCAAATTACCCTTTTACCTTTAAGGAGACTTTTTTAACTTTACAATTTAATAAATTGGACCAATCTACCATCATGAACAATTTATGCATAAAAAAAAAAAAAAAAAAAAAAAAAAAAAAAAAAAAAAAAACATAAATGAACAATTTATGAACAATTATGCATTTCACTTTTTTTTTTTTTTTTTGTTATTTACTTTATAAATGTCCCAACTTCTTAAAAATGTATACGTCTAAAATGATTTTTTGATCCAATACATATATTTCAAACAAGTACCATCTTAACTTTATGCATGCCTTTGTTTTTTTTTTTTCTTTTGGTTTATTATTATTATTTTCCCTTTTATGTTAGGAAATGCATAATATTTGATACATAATTTAAGTTGTATAAAGTTATACTAGTACCATACTTTTTATTTTTGAGGAATAGAGATTGGTTTAATTTTTTAGATGAAAGAATTAAGCATCTTAATTTAAAAATAAAAAATAAAAAGAAAAGAAGTAATAACAAAATATAATTTATTTGAAATATATGTATTGAATCAAAAAATCATTTTAGACGTCTACACTTTTAAGGAGTTGGGACATTTATAAAGTAAATAACAAAAAAAAAAAAAAAAAAAAAAGCAAGCAAAATAAAATTTTTTTTTTTACTTTTTTTATGCATAAATTATTTATGATTGTAGATTAGTCTAATTTATTAAATTGTAAAATTAAAAAAGTCCCTTAAACGACGGTCATATGGTAATTTGGTCAATTTTTCATGTAAAGGGGTGTCTTTATCCATTTTTGAACCTTTAGGGAGTGTCTTTGTCCAAAAAACAGATAAGTTTCCTCTGAGTGTCCTTTTGCCAAACCTCAAGGGATGTTACCGTACTTTACCCTTTAATTTATATATAAGATCTTTTATCTAAAGAAGTCTCTAAGTCCATATTAATCTACTGTTAAATTATAATATTTTATATATTCAAGGATCTTTTGGGAAGCTTATAGAACAATATAAGATAAAAGTATTGTTTTGGATCTTTAATAATAATATAGTTTGTTGTGTGGTCTAAAGCATAAAATAAAGTTCATTTTAGAGAAATATTATGGTGGTCAATCCATTAATTGAAACTTCAAAACCTTGTTTTCATTTTAGTGTAACATTTGGGCCTTAATCCCATGTATTAGTAAAAATCCCTCAAAACTAAAATGTCCGTACAAAGAAAGGTGGTCACAATTTCCTTTATTCTCTTTATAAAGAAATATACAAGTAGTAGAATGAATCAAAGGACTAGGCTTGCGACACCAAAAAGAAGCAAACCCCTGCTCCTGTGGATGCCTCCTCGTAAGGCGAATCGAATTGCACACCCGATACCAAGTAAAGGAAGAAGGGCTATGAAATAATCCTCGATTATACAATGCTGAGGAGTGTACAGATCTGCAATAAAAGAATGTAAGAACTTAAACAACTAAAGATTGTAGGATCAGCTATCTGCAATTGAAATTGACTTCTGTATATAGAAAGGAAGGCAAGTAACCAAATTGGCAGAGATGGCACAAGAAGGCAAACTACACGATAATGCTGATTGTTTTTCTCGATTGTTAAAAGTATACATTATATCCTTCTTCTATTGTCCACTCGCGTTTTCTTGGAAGGTCCAGCTCCTAAATGCTCAACTCCTGATTGTATCTAAACAGAAAAGAAATACAATGTACAATTAGAGTCGGCTAAAAACTTGAAATTAAAATATGCAGTGGTAGTGGCTGATCACCTTGTTAAGCTTATCCCTGACCAACCGAACTGTCTGATTCATCGATTGGGTTGGAAAATAATCCTGAGACAGAAAATAGAAACTTTTGTAACTAATATTGAGGATCAATAGCAAGACTACAGTACTGTCCACTGTCAGCCATCCAATAAAACATCATCCTGGTTCAAACTCTCTACTGGGAAGCTATTTGTTTGGAAATGACAAGCAGCCAAGGTATGCAAATGGTTCTAGGATGGCCGTTGTATTGGACAAAATCAAAGTTAAGTAAAGATACAATTACCTCTGGCCAAATAAGATTTAAGTAAGTTCGTTACACAAGTTGAACCATCAGAGATTTAGATCGGGCATCGGTTGTTTACAATGTTCATGGTTCAAGTCTTGGTAGGAAAGGGAATTTATTGTGTGGGGGGTGTCATCCTCATCTTATATCATGTAAGAAATTAGCTGGAGAAAGGATTTAAATTTTGGATGTCTCAGTGTAAATTGGTAACAAACCTGATCAGAAGAAACCATTGTGGGGATAGAATCTTTACTTTGAGAAACCATTGTGGGGGTAGAATCTTTACTTTGAGAAATATGATGTGGCTCTCCAAATTCCCTACAATAAAGAAAGAAAAATAAAGTCTTAATCGTTACCATAAAAAAGCCTCCAGATGGCTCCATCAAGTTTGAACAAAAAGTATACTACCTTAGGTTGTTCATTGATTGGGAAATGCAATCAGTCTGTGATGGAGTTGCAACAGATAAAGGCTCACTGGAAACACCTGGGTTGTGAACTGTAGACCCTCTAGACCTTCCGGCTGAAACCGGAGATATTGGCACAAACCACAAGATTTTTAGTGGAAAGATATAAGAGGACTCTGCCTGGAAAAAAACTAAGAAACTCACGGTTCAATCGTGCTAGAACTTCCTTTCTCCGGCCTTCTAATTTCTCCTTTGTGTCCAAGAGGCTCTCAAAATGAGGTGCATAAGAGACCTGCAGCCGATTCCCAAGGAAAACAAACTCGTCCAGTTTTCTTTTTGCAAACCTACAAAAAATCGAATTAAAGCTTCAAACATGTAAAATTAAGAAGGCATATCATCAAATAAGAATAGGGGAACATGTATATGCACTCTAATTCACTATGAGTATAATAGTACAGATCAAAACATTATCGTGAATCAACTTCAATCACCTGGCATTGTTGGCCTGACGAAATTTGATCCAGTAAACATCAGTAAATGGCTCACAATCTTCATCATCCATTGGTTTACATCTGACAAAGGCAAATGAAGAAAATCATGGCAACCCAACAAACAAAAGTACAAAACAACATTTCAAATAAGGCTATAGATAGCTAGAAAACATATCCGAAATGAAATAAAATTGAATTTCCTTGTGACATCAAATTCGTAGCCATGAACACTACTTTCCCAAGCATCAGAAGTGCAACAACCATACATAACCGACCTCTTTTCAATTAAGTAAATGTCACCCCTTTTCGATTAAGACAAATTTTTTTTTTTTTTAATTACCTTTTCAATTAATACATGGCAAATGATTGAGCAAGAGTCAGCACAATACAGTGAGAAAAATATATTAATTACATTACATTGCACCAAACTTCAACAGTATATATAAATATATAACAAGAGGGGTATTTTCTAAAATTTTTTTATCAAATAATTTGTTACAATAAGAACATCTATACAAGTTGATCATGCCCATATTAAATTTCCTATAGAGAGAGAAGAGAGAAATTACTCTTCAATATCTCCGTATGTTGCGAACAGTTTCGACAATTCATCACCACAGCCCAATGCCGGAACGTTCCTCACAATCAAATATCTGTTACAACAAGCATATATGAAATAATTTCAAAATGTGAAATTTTCGAAACTGAGCTGGTTATAAGAACCTAATTCAATCGTTTCAAATACAGAAATTTAGAAATTTAAGAGGAAAATTCAAAAATTGAAACATACGCTAATTGATTAGGGTTTGTGATGGCACCCATTGATGCAATTCAAACTTTAGATTAGTGATGGTAACAAAGAAAATGCATGCATACATATATATGTATATATAGAGAGAGAAATAGAGAAACGAACTTTGATTCATCGCAAACTGTATATACGCGAACTGCAGGCGGTTCGTCTCTGTATCGAGGCATGTTGATTTCAAAACATCCGGCGGTGGTTTTCTCTCTTCCGTCCAATGGTTGGGTGATTTTTTTTTTCCCTCGGATTCGTCTTTGCTTTTCATGAATAGATCCTCTTTCTGCAGTCATCAGAGATCAAGTTGTCCTGAAAAATCATGATGGTAACTTCTCCTCCTCACGCTGCGACGACAGTTGATGAAGAAAATTAGGGCTACAACACTCCCGATTTGGGTTTTCGTAATTGCTGCTTTGTTTGTTCCTCTTTTCTTTTCTGTTTTTCTTTTGTCCCTAAAGCTCTTTATTCAGTGCTTTTTAAGTAATTAATTAATTTAGTTTTAGTCCCCAAATATATATATATTTAGTGTTAGTCCCCAAAAATTCATAAGATGGTGATTTTGTTGTTGAAGAACATGGTAGAATTTTATAAATTAATGATGTAGAATTTTTTTATAAATTAATGATGGAGAATTTTTTAGAAAAAAAAAAAAAACTATTTTTATACATCCAAATAAAATTTTAGTATGTATTTGTTGAATAAAATAGGTATTTGATGATATATATATAAATTAATGACACACATAAGATTTAAAATATACAACACACAAACAATGAAATGTGAGACTCAACAAAAAAAATTTATTACATTTCTTTTCATCTTTAAGTTAAGAATTTTTTTGACAACCAAATAATTTTTTGAGTTTTTTTCTCTGAAAATTGTTTTGAATTTTTTTCAACCAAGCAAATTTTCTGACTTAGAAAATTAAAAATTATTTTCTATAAATTGTTCTTAAAATTTATTCTCAAAGTTTCATTTCAAGCAAATCTCTCTAAAGATGATACCTTTCTTGTTTAGATAGAGACGCTGAAACAATCCTAAGGGTTAGGTTTGATGATCTTTTACTCCATTTTTGTGTTCTTATATTTTTTTATATATACATTTAAAAAAATATATATATATATAAAAGATAATTTTTTTTATTGTGATAATTATATAGTCAACACTCTGTTTAGTTGATATTGAATAGGCGTATTACTATTTGTGGAATGTATTTATGCGTAGATGTTCATATTTAAGTTATGCGCGAATTACCTTAACCTCTCTTAGGTTTGAGCTTATTACCCATAAACTAAACTTGTTGAAAAATTATGGTCATCCTCCCCAAAATTTGACAAAAGTTACAAATTCCCCCTTGACAGTTAATACCTTTAAAATATTTTAATGCAATACCAATCTTGACCTTAGTAGTATGTGTATAATTTATATATTTCTTTTAAAAAAAAAGTGTAGATAGAAGGACCACACTGCCACCATATTATATGTAAATCCTATTATACATGTAGTTTACACACACACACCCCTTCCCCTCTCTAGTAACATTGCTAGTTCTTCCACCGGCGAAGGCGATACCATCTGTGGTGGTTGATGATAATAATTTTCTCTTAATTTTAGTGGACAATTAGGGTTTATTTATATACTAAAGCGTACTTGCAAAGTGAAATCTCAATATGGGGTAATGAAGAATTGGCGATGATGTGTTCTCATGACTCATAGATTGAGATTGGGATGCTGGATTTGTTTGATTTGTCATTTGGGTTTGGTTATTGGTGGTGGCGGAGCCGGAGGCGTCATCTAAGGCCAGGGTGGGATGGAGGGCGGTGGTATGGCGCATGAATCGCAGTTGGTATTTTTCAACTATTTTATGAGCCAACTCCATGAATGTACTATGGGCTTTTGCTCTTTTAACTTATAGAACAATCTCCTTTGTTGGTGTCTTGGTTCTCACGGTTACCGGTGGTGGTGGTGGTGGTGGTGGTGAGAACAAAAATAGAGTGGGAGGTTGTGAGATATAAGGAGATTAAAGGGGTAAGGTTGTGCTATAGAGAAATGCATGAGTAATTATGAAGATGAAAAGGATCTTGAAATAGAGAATATAAACAAACAGAGAATTGGCTGAGAGAATGAAGCAGGCGGCAGTGGAAGCCCAAAACTGGCAGTACAGAGCAACAATCAATTTCTTCGTACATAATAAACCCCAACAACCTCCTCAAGCTTCAAGGTGGACCTGAGAAGACTGGTTTCACGAAGGATACTATGGTCTCCATCTAGTTAGAAATTGTCCACTCTACCCTTCTGTACCTAAAATCATAAAATGTATATTTATGCATGGATGAATTGTTAAAGTCCACAAAATGAAGTTAATGTGTAGAATCTGTTTGGAACCAACCAGTCAGGCGGAGTGATCAAACAAACCCTTGTATCAATAAGGTAAAAGTAGAAGAAAGACATCACAAGCTAAAACTATTGGTGGACAAAAAGAAAATTAAGCAATTCCGACTAAATACCCCATAAAGTGGAGGCTGTAACAAGAAGAATTAAAGAGGGTGAAATTTAGGCAATTCATGTTCACTTTCTACTCGCACGAAACTGTTGGATTCATAAGACATGGCATCAATGATCAATGTATACAAATACTTTTTGATCACTAAAAGTTCTAATGAAAGATCCGATTCGAACTTTCGTTCCTCTACTCGTAATTATACAAAGCTGAGGAGCGTACTGATCTGCAATGAAAGAACTTAAACAACTAAATATTCACATTTACAACATCGTGGTTGGATCAGAAAAAACACGTCTACTTAGGGTTGTACCAGGTGACCAACAATTGGACAGAAAGAAAGAAGCCATGTCTGAAATTGGTATATATGTTTGAAATGAATAGACTACCAGTAGAACGAAAAACTCCCTCGGCAAATAGGGAACAAGTCAAAACAACCTAAAGTCTGCTTGGAAAGTGACATTTCTCTAGGGAAAGAAAAGAGAGCTATTAAGGTAGTGATTGCCATGGATGATGATGAGAAACCCCCAGCTTTCAATTACATAACCAGAATGAAATATCCAAATATGTAAAAACCACTCTAGTTCAACTGGTTACAATTGCATCAATGGATGCTCGGATTTGGAGCAATGCTCCTGCACCATAGGAGCAACCAATTCGACTAGAGTGGTTGTACAAATCTGGATATTTCATTTTGGCTATCTAAATGAAAGCAAGGGGTTTCCTAATTTATGGCAATCACTACCTTAACCGCTCGTTTCTTTCCATAGAGTAATGTGCAGACTTTAGATTCTTTTGACTTGTTCAATATTTGTCGAGGGAGTTTTGGTTCTGCTGGTAGACTATTCAATTCAAGCATATAACCAATTTCAGACATGGCTTCTTTCTTTCTTTCTGTCCAATAGTTGGTCACCAGCTACAACCCATCATAGATATAAGTTTTTCCAACCCTCTCATTACTTGTACCCTTTTTTTTTCGTCATCTGCAATTGAAATTGACTTCTGTTTATCTAAATTATCTAGCAAGGCAGGCAGGTAACCAAATTAGCAGAGATGACACAAGAAGGCAAAGTACTCGATAGTGCTTGTTGTCTCTCTCCATTGTTAAAAGTACATTAAATTCTTCTTCTATTGTCCAGTCGCATTTTTTTGGAAGGTACAGCTCTGAGATGCTCAACACCTGATTGTGTCTAAAACACAAAAGAAATGCAATGTACAATTAGAGTCCACTAAAAACTTTAAATTAAGAAATGCAGTAGTGGATGATCACCTTATTAAGCTTATCCCTGACCAACTGAACTGTCTGATTCATCGATTGGGATGGAAAATAATCCTGAGACAAAAAGGAGAAAAGCATTTACTAGTACGAGACAAAAAATAGAAACATTATCCTGGTTATAGGATAAACTCTACTAGGAAGCTATTTGCTTAGCAATGACAAGAAACCAAACCATGCAAATGGTTCTAGGATGGCCGATATATTGTTGATAATCTGAAAAAATCAAAGTTGAGTGAAGATAACAATTACCTCTGGTGATATAAATTTTATTAAGTTTATTACACAAGTTGAACCATCAGAGATTTAGATCGGGTATTGGTTGTTTAGAATGTTCATGGTTCAAATCTCGGTATGGAAGGGAATTTATTTATTGTTTGGGAGGTGTCATACTCATCTTAAATCATGTAAGAAATTAATTGGAAAAGAATTAGAGTTTTGGATGTCACTGTAAATTGGTAACAAACCTGATCAGAAGAAACCATTGTGGGGGTAGAATCTTTACTCTGAGAAACCATTGCGAGGATAGAATCTTTACTTTGAAAAATAAGATGTGATTCTCCAGATTCCCTACAATAAAATTAAAAATAAAATTAAAAAAAAAATAAAAAAAAAAAAATCTAAATCTTTGCCATGAAAAAAACCTCCAGCGCCATCAAGTTTGAACAAAAAGCATACTACCTTAGGTTGTTTGTTGATTGGGAAAACGGAGTTGCAACAGATAAAGGCTCACTGGAAACACCTGGGTTGTGAACTGTAGACCCTCTAGACCTTCCGGCTAAAATCAGAGATATTGGCACAAACCATACTTTTTTCAGTGCAAAGATAAAAGTGTACTCTGCCTGGAAAAATCATAATTTGGACTGTGTTTTATAATACTACGAAACTCATGGTTCAATCGTGCTAGAACTTCCTTTCTCCAGTCTTCTAATTTCTCCTTTGAGTCCAAGAAGCTCTCAAAATTAGGTGCATACCTTACCTGCAGCCGATTCCCAAGGAAAACAAACTCGTCCAGTTTTCTTTTTGCAAACCTACAAAAAGTTGAATTAAGGCTAAAACATCTCACATTCACTAACTGTAACTGTTGGATACATGTAAAATTAACAAGGCATATCATCAGATAAGAATAGGGGAACATATTAATGAACCCTAACTCACTACGTAAAATAACAAACTTAATCAGATAAGAATAGGGGAACATATTAATGAACCCTAACTCACTACGTAAAATAACAAACTTAGTGTATATGAGTACATCATATCACACATCAAAACGTTATCATGAATCAAGTTTAGTCACCTGGCATTGTTGACGTGACAAAATTTGATCCAGTAAAACTGGGTAAATGGCTCACAGTCTTCATCATCCATTGGTTTACATCTAATGGAGGCAAATGAAGAAAATCATGGCAAATCGTCTAACAAAGCAACCGTTCAAATAAGGCCATTGATGCCTAGAAACCATATCCGAAATGCAATTAAATCAGAATTTCTTCGCAAAGCCTAATTCTTAAGAAATGGTAACCCCTTTTATTTATTTTTTTTATGCCTGAACGCTACTTTCCCAAGCATCAAAAGTGTTGCAACAACTGGAGATAACAACCACTTTTCAATTAAGAAATGGCAAATGATTGGGGCAAGAGTTGGGGAAAAATTAATTAATTACATAAAATTGCTCTCATTTCAACCACACATATAACAAGAGCTTTTTTTCATTGAATTAAAAATTTTAAATTTTATCAAATAATTTGTGACAGTAAGAACACCAGTAGAAGTTGATCATGGCCATATTACATTTCATATAGAGAGAGGAGAGAGAAATTACTCTTAATATCTCCATATGTTGCGAACTGTTTCGACAATTCATCACCACAACCCAACGCCGGAACGTTCTTCACAATCAAATATCTGTTACAACTAGCATATATGAAATAATTTCAAAATCTGAAATTTCCGAAACTGAGCTGGTCATAAGAACCCAATTCAATCATTTCAAATACAGAAATTTAACACATGATAATTGCTTAGGATTTGTGATGCCACCCATTGACGCAATTCAAACATTAGATTAGTGATGATAATAAAGAATATGCATACATATATATAAGTGTATATATAGAGAGAAAAATAGGGTTTGTGATGCCACCCATTGACGCAATTCAAACATTAGATCAGTGATGATAATAAAGAATATGCATACATATATATATATATGTATATAATTATATATAGAGAGAGAAACGAACTTTGATTCGTCGCAAACTGTATATACGCGAACTGCAGGTGGTTCGCCTCTGTATCGGGGCATGTTCGTTGTGTACTGTTATGCTTCGAAGACGATTAAATAGAGATGACGGCGGCTGTGCAAACTAGCATATTGAACATGGTCCAGGTTTTGTGTTAAAATGAAGAAAATGTTTTGGGCCAAGACAGGCCCAACCATGAAGAGTGGGACCATTTGAATTTTAACACGAGCAATAATTCGATGGTGTATCATAAGTAAGATACGCTCGAGCGTGTTGAATCATATGGCCTTCATTGAATCATTTGTTAAAGTTCGATGACGTGTATCACGTTGGCACGCTGGCAAATTAGTAGTGGCGAATACGTAATATATGGACGACTTTAGGGGCATTTTAACATTGTCTAGTTTCAGCTGACACTAAAAGCCGAAATCCCATACAACCGTGTTTTATCTCTCCTGAAGATGATAGCAATCCTGTTTCTTGTTTAGAGAGAGAAAGAAAGAGAGAGACTCACATAGTCTGAAACAATCCCAATAAGGTTACGTTTGATCATCCTCTTTTATTCAAATTTCGTGTTCTCATATTTTTTATACAAGAAAGATTATATTTTTTATTTTGATAATTATTTAGTCAAACACTCTGTTTAGTTGATATTGAATTATGCGAATTAGTATTTGTGGATTGTATTTATGCATAGATGTTCATATTTAAGTTATATATGTCTGTATGTGTATTTATAGATGTATCGTGTATGTGAGTTTGTGAACTTTTATGTTCCCTTTTTATGATTGAATTGAATTTTATGTTAAAATGTAAATCTGTTCGGATTGCTACCATGTTTCAGCTCACAATAAAGACAATTATAATTTCATTTCATGTTCTGTTTTAATTTTGTTGTCTTTACCTTGTTCACTATTTGGTATTATCTTGAGATTATAATGTACAAAAACAGGCATTTTCCAAACTATTTGTATATGATCTGATTTTGAATTTTAATTGTTTCTGAAATAATTTTTTTGTTCCTTTTTGTTATCCCTTTTTGTTGTGTTGTTTCCGATAAGAAAAATGATATGTAGTTCGATAGTTGGATTAGTCCGGCTGTTTGATGTGGGTGGGGTGACATCATGATGACATCAGTGGTGGGTGGTAGCCCTCACCTCACATTAAAACAGTCAGAGTTGTCCGACTGTCGGACTCCTTATCACGACTCTACTGATATCAGAGAGTAATTGTGTTTTGGGCTGGATTGACCTTGTGATACAGTTAACTCACATGCATGTTTATAAGATAAGATTTTTTTTTGCTTTGATCATTATGAAATGAGTTGAATTACTTGTCCTGTGAAGTGTTTGATTTGCAAATTTCATAGTTTTATTAGCAATGTTGACTACTGTGTATGTGTGTATGTATTTGGTAGGTGAGGTTTGGTCATGGTGGTTGGTTAGTGACACCAATTGACATTTAGATGGGTTGTTGTGTTGCACAGGCTGTAGTGGGGAGTGTACATTAAGAATTGGGAATTGCATTTGAGTTCACAACAAGGAGATGGGATCTGAAGGGCCAAAGTGTGTGACCATCCATGTGACTGGATTCAAGAAATTCCAAGGGGTTGCTGAGAATCCTACTGAGACTATAGTTAGCAATTTGAAGAATTTTGTTGAAAAGAGAGGGTTGCCTATCGGTCTTACCTTAGGGAGCTGCACGGTTCTTGAGACTGCTGGAGATGGTGCACTTCCCTTGCTATACAAGATTATGGAATCTGGTATCTCTAAAGAAAATAATTCAAGCAATGAGCAAATAGTTTGGGTTGGTTTCACTACACAACTCTTATAATCTGAAATTTAAATTTTTTATCAGATATGTGGAGGAAATGGTGATTTTTGCAGATTGATTCAAGTTTCAACACATTCAATAGTAGTAAACTTCTTTGTTTTGATCATTTTTCATGGAGCCTCTAAATATTGGGTGTTCTTAAAAGGGCTACTTTGAGCTTTAACTATTACACCAAGAATTGGTCCCTACTTGGGTGTACTTAACATATAGATATAGACACACACACACTGACACACACATGTTAATGGTTATTTGAGACATCCATGCCCAAGGTAATTTGAGAGTTAATTTGGATGCCTTCACAACCAAAGTATAGTACGGAATCTTGCAATATCTAGCCACAAGATGAAGTATTATTATGAATGGCATTTTTTGAAAATACACAATAAGCTGCCTTTTGTGCATATTTACTGTGGAAAGTAATCAGTTCACAAGACAGTGGTGGATTATTTTATTTATGATCAACACCAAGATGGATTTTAGAAAATATCAAGTATGACTGCATGTGTCGACTTGAAGCCTTGAAAGTGGTTTGAGTAGTGAACTTTATATCTGGTAAGAGAAACTCTGGGTTGGTGGGAGGGTGACAACTTCGCAAGAGCAGTGTTAAATCATGACTTCTAATTTATTTTCAAGTTCCAGGTTTTAAGTTCTTATGCCATCTGATTACATTCACCTCCTTCCAATTATTTCGACTCTCTAAGCTGTTAGACATTCAATCTATTTATATCCTTCCCAAAAAAAAAAATTCCATTGCATGCTTTCTCTATTTTTCATTTCAATGTTGTACCTTTTTCTTAGGTTGGTTGGTTCAGCAGATGAGGTATTTTGACTGGTTAGTTTTCATAGTTGTTGAGTATGCGGTAGGCATTAATGCATCGATGGGTTCAGCAGGATTTTAAAAGATTATTGCAATTAGAGGAATCTAACCTTCAGGCATGACTGCTCTAGTGACTAATGCGATTAAATTACAATTTCTAGCAACCAATGATGTGTTGGTTCACTTTGTCATGATATATTGATATGCAGAAAAAGTGTTGGTTTTTTTGAACAACTTGTAGGCTTATATTTTAGGAAGCTTATATCTATGATATTTCATAAACAGGTTGGGAATGATACTTTGAAGAATGCTAAACATTCGAAAGCTTATTTTAGAGATTCAGCTTTAGTGACTCACAATCCTTCACGTTCATTTTGTTTTCAGCTTCACTTGGGGGTCAACAGTGGGGCATTAAAATTTGCTATTGAGCGGCAGGCAATGAATGAAGCCACTTTTCGTTGTCCAGACGAACTCGGATGGCAGCCTCAGGTGGATATGCTTCTTTGTTGTACTTGTATTTCTCATTTCATATTAAATAACTTCAGATTTTGTTATGCTAAATTCCATTCTATTTTCCCCAGCAATTGCCAATTGTCCTTGCGGATGGAGGAACTTCTCGAACAAGAGAGGTAATTCTTTTCAGTTTGCATTTTGGCATGATATTTGCTAGACAAATTCACTAAGTTAGCAATTGGAACATTTTAGACGAAGTGCCCTGTGATGTCATTAGTAGGGTTTTGCTGTTACCCTCAATTTATTCTCGGTAAAGGAATGGTAATGTGTTTGATTTTGTGCTGAAAATCTAACATCATAAAACTTGTCTGAAGAAATCTTGCAAACTTCAACAATGTCAGTGAAGGGAACTCGATCTACTCCACTTAGCTTGGTCTTGAAAAACATATAAATTGGTCATGTGAAGTTTGTGAGTGGTGCGTTAGTCACTGTGAAGTTAGATTTATTAAAAAAATAACCATTGTTGGTAGGTCAGTTCTTTTGTCATTGCTCCAGATAAGAATGAATTTGTTTCTAATGTTTGTAACTTCATATTTGTTATTAACCAATAAACTTAGGCATCCTTCACGCCTTGGAACATACCTAGCATAAAATATTTAATCAAGCCTTTATATTATTTTATGTAAGAAAAAAGAATTTTGAAATGTATCATGCATGCTAAGAAAATGCCAAGTGAATGGTAGAAATAAGATCAAAGTTGATAATCAGAGTTGTACCAACCACATGTTATTAGCCGTACAGTTGGACCACAAAAGAGTTCAACCATGAAATTTTGGGAGAGTGATTGAACAAAGAGTAAGTTATAAATCAAATCTATCATAAAATTATTTCGTCTTAGTGGAAGGAAACCCTTCGTGGAAGCTATTTTCTACCTTAGGTGATTGATGAAAATGTTTGGAGTGAGAAGAAAGATCTCTATGCAGTATTAATTAACCTAAAATAAGCATATGATGGATTCATAGTGATACTGTAGTGGTTAACAATGACGTTGCACCAGCCAGATACTTTTACCTACTAGTCACTGAGAATTGGGAAAGAGACACATGAATGAACATAGACTTACTAGTTTTGGATAAACTGCTCGTCTTTTTGCATTAGTTATGGATAAACTTATTTGTGGTTTATAAAGAGATCCATTGTGGTAGACTATTCATGATAGCTTAAAAGTTACAAAATATCTAAAAGGATTCAGGAAGCAAAAGGATGCAATATAAGTTTGTGGTGAGAATCATATTAAAAGAGACGTAGACGAGGCTTGAGGGTGAAGGGCCATTTGTCTCTGCTTTATTGGCTAGTCGTCTCTGCTTTATTGGCTAGTCATGACTCATGAGGACGCCCCAAAGCCAACAAGAGGATGAGATGAGCTAGCCATTGTGCTTCAGCAGGGCATGTAGCTTTTAACAACTTTTAATCCTAGATGGAGTCATGTAGTGCGAATGATCCGTTTAAAATGGTCTTGGCCACGTGAATTGGCTGTAATGGCATCTGACTGTTTGCTCTCTTATTTTACTAAGCGACAGTCCAATGATTATGGTCAATCAAGTCAAGCCTTTTTTCTTTAAAAAGATTATCAACATCACATGCATTAGCAATTACTCTCTCTCTCTCTCTCTCCCCCCTCCCTAACTTTTCATCTTTTGGTTGTTTAAGACTTCCTGCTCGACTGAGTCGATCCTACAGTTCTTGAAGAAGAAGGGTTATGACGTGACAATATCAGACGATGCAGGCCGTTTTGTGTGCAATTATGTCTACTATCATTCTCTTCGATTTGCAGAACAAAAAGGTCACAAATCTCTCTTTGTCCATGTTCCTCTCTTTTCTAGGATCGATGAAGTAACCCAGATGCAGTTTGTAGCAGCCCTTTTGGATGCTATTGCATCCACATGTTAAAGTCATTGATTTGAAAGTTCAATTAAAACTTTCATGTTTGTGTTGTGACAATGTTAAATTAAAATTTTCATCTTTGTATTACGTCAATGTCTTTCATCTCAGTGCAACATGTAAATTTCCGTGTCTATATATGATAAAAAAAAAATTAAAAAAAAAAAAAATTCTGAACTTGTGGAGTGCTGTTTATCTGTGAATAAATTACGTTCTTCCTGATTATGGAGAACCGTTAATGTATCTTCTGATTGTGCTTAGATAATCATGATGCTTTTATATTTACTCCCATTTTAGGGGTTATTAAAATGCATCTTTGGCAGTTAGTTGGATGGCTTTTGCAAGACTGATATATAGTACACTCTTTTATGTTCGGTATGAGCTCGCCCCCTTGATCATAGGCGGCAGCCAGAGTTGGAGTTGGATTTTCCACTGCTGATTTGTTATGATTATTATCCTTGCCTACATCTGTACACTATCCTCTTGTGCATTGATGGTGTGTGTGTTGGGTTGGGTGTAAGTGAAGGCTAATTTTCTTCTGTACCTGGATAGCTTAAGCATGATTATTGCAATCATATAGTAGGCTTGTCATTGAATGTTCAGACACCTACCCAAAATGGATTGGTATATTGTCTTTCGAGGGTTTGATTTGGTTCTCCATTTTTTTTTTTTTTTGGGCATGTTGAGATTGGTAAGACTATGGTTTCAAGCATGAAATGGATTGGAAATGGTGTGTGAATTTTGGTCCACATCCATTTATTTTCTGCTTTGGTCTGAATCTAAGGTCCTGATCACTTCAGACCTTGCCAATGTCAAGATTCTACTTGTGAGCGACTGGCTCATTTCAACAAAAAGAAGTAAAATTCTTTGAGCAGAGAGTTTTTGCATTAATAGCCATCAATGCATAGTAGTGTCCTCTTCTTGAGCTCATTCAATGTGCATGTTAAAAACAAACAAGCTTATTGTTCTTAGACATTTTTTTGGGGGGAATTTTCAGAAAACAATTCTCAAAAATTGTCAATCAATTATGCTTTTTGTATAGTTTTTTAATTTTTAATTATCAAAAAGTAAGAATATTATTATTAAAAGACTGAACCAAACAGACTCATTGTTTCTGGTTTAGAACCGGTTTAATTACAAACCCAATTTACTATCCGTGTGGAGGGTATTTTTATAATTTGAAAAAAAAAGAATCATAAAATCAAAGGAATATATAAATTTTCATTTTTAAACAATTAGTACATTAAATAAGAATTTTTGGAAAAAAAATATTCTTATCAAAGGAATATTTATCATTACTATTATTTTTTTTAGGTAAATTATTATTACTATTATTTTGAACCAACTATTACATTAATTAAAAGTTTTCTAGAAAAATAATACCAAAAAAAAAAAAAAAAAAAAAAAAGCTTCTTAAATCGATGCCAAGTTTCTTTTAGGCCCGTTTGGCATGTGTTTTGTTTTTGCTATTTTTATTTTTGGGCTACTACAATGTTAATTTTAGTAACAGAAACATATTTAGTGCGGCCTTATTTTATTTTACATAGTATTAAAACACTTTGTGAACTGTGGTCCAAAACTAAAACACCAAAAAAATTATTTTCAAAACCAAAACACTCAAAAATTATTTTTTCTTATTTTGACAACTATTCATGACCCAAAACTATAACAGTAAGGCAACAAAAGCCCTAACATTTTTGTTCCCAAATGCGCTTTCAATTTTTTTTCATAACACTCTTATAGAAAAATACTATCTCTGTTTTAATCAAAAACAAAACCTTTAATCAAAGCACATGCTAATAATACTTAGCACGTTCAAAGGAGTAAAGAAGAAGCAAAAAAAAAAAAAGGTTATTGAAATGTAAAAAATTCTTTTGATATTTATTTTCTTATAAATGATGGGATTCACAACTGGACCCATTTTCATTGTACCACTCTGGTTAAAATGCCAGTTTTACCCTTGGAGCTCACGAGCAATGCAAAGCAAAAGATTGCTGTCCTTTTGCCGTACAATAACCACCTTTACATCCAAACAAGCCATAACCAAACCACTCTCTACTCTCCTACTCGACTCATACTGCGAAACCGATTCTCAAGCTTATGTATTTTCACATAACAGAGCCATCAATGATCAAATAAAATCTGGGTTTCTACATTCTGCAGTCAAACTGTTCGAAGAAATGCCTATACGAGATGTTGTTACATGGAACTTGATAATTTCTGGGCATAGCCGTTGTGGGCTTCCAGGACAAGCTCTGTACCTTTACAATCAAATGCTTTCTTATGGAATTAAAGAAAGCTCTTCGACATTTTCATCCGTTTTGAGTATGTGTGCCAATGCCGGGTTCTATCAGGAAGGACTTCAAGTTCATTGCAGGGTGCTACTTTCAGGATTCAGTAAGAATATGTATGTTGGGAGTTCACTTATTGATCTATATTTGCATATGGGTCTTGTTGATATTGCTTTGTGGTTGTCTAATGACTTGCCAGAACGAAACTTAGCAATATGGAATTTGGTTTTACGTGGGTTTTGTGAATTGGGTATGTCAAATGAGTTATTAGGATTGTATGGTGAAATGAAATTGGAGGGTGTTCAGCCTAATGGGCTTAGTTTGTGTTATTTGATTCGCGGCTGTGGTAATGAGCGGTTTCTTAATGAAGGAAAGCAGCTACATTGTTGTGCAATTAAATTTGGATGGTTAGAGTCAAATTTATTTGTTGCTAATGCTTTGGTGGATCTTTACTCTGCTTGTGGGGTTGTAATTGATGCTAAGAAATCATTTGAAATCATTTCAGAAGAGGATGTGATTTCTTGGAACTCCATTGTTTCTGTTTATGCTGAAAATGGTTTTCCGCGTGATGCTCTTGAATTTTTTAATAGGATGCAGTTATGGGAGAAGAGGCCATCGGTTCGATCTTTTATGGGGTTTTTGAGTTTGTCTAGTAGTACCGAGAATCTTATACTAGGGAGGCAAACACACTGTTATTTATTGAAATTAGGTCTTGATTGTGGAAGTGTTCATGTTCAATCTGCTTTGATTGATATGTATGGAAAATGTGGTCAAATTGAGAGTTCTGTATCAATTATTGAGGGTGTGCCTGAGAGAACCAAAGAGTGTTGCAACTCACTAATGACCTCTTTACTGCATTGCAATGTCATCGAAGATGTGGTTGAGATGTTTGGTTTGATGCTTGATGAAGGAATTGGACTTGATGAAGTCAGTTTCTCCACGACGCTGAAAGCATTATCAGTTTCTGCTTCAGGAAGCTTGGCTAGCTGCAGATTGGTGCACTGTTGTGTGATAAAATTAGGTTTCGAATATGATACTGTTGTATCATGTTCACTTATTGATGCATATTCAAAATCTGGTCATATTGAACTTTCTCTGCAGGTTTTTGAAAAACTTTCTTCACCAAATGTGGTCTGTTTCACATCGATTATCAACGGATATGCCCGAAATGGAATGGGAAGAGAAGGTCTCAAAATGCTTGAGACTATGATCCAGAAGGGTTTGAAACCTGATAAAGTCACGTTTTTGTGTGTATTAACGGGGTGCAACCACTCAGGGCTACTTGAAGAAGGAAGACTGGTGTTTGATTCAATGAGAATTGTTCATGGGATTGATCCTGACCGGCAGCATTATTCTTGTATGGTGGATCTTCTTGGTCGTGCAGGTTTACTGGATGAAGCGGAGAAGTTGTTGCTACAAGCGCCAATAAAGGGTGATCCCGTGCTGTGGACCTCACTGTTGCGGAGTTGTAGGGTTTACCAAAACGAAGGTGTGGGAAGGAGAGCAGTGAAAATACTGATGGAGCTTGAGCCAGAGGATCCTGCAGCTTTGCTGCTAGCTTCATGTTTTTATTCTGAAATAGGGGAATTTGAAGCTTCAATGCATATCAAAGAGGTGGCAATGGCCAGAAAGATGAGTAGGGAGATAGGTTACAGTTCAATTGAGGTGAATGGTAACAGTTATCAGTAACATCTTGCATCAAAAGATACATAGAACAAATTGGCCATTCTCTGGAAAAATGCTCAAATTAGCACATTTCACTGGAAGTTCAAATTCATGTTGGCTATTTTGAAGTCTCCATCAGCGTGAAGACTTGGCCATGCTCTGATCATTCTTATTATTGGTGAATAACAAACTGGAGTTCTTTGACATGCAGTATATACTTTTTTGTTTCACCAATCAATTGGCATTTCATTTTTTTTTTTTTTGAACATATTTGCAGATATGGATCAATCATTATTGTAAAATTTATGTGATACCTGGGAAAGAAATTTTGAGGATTGGCATGAGAAATTTGACTGGTGAATGCAACTGCTCTGGACCACTGGTTGAGGAGTAAAGTGAAGGTCAGCCTCCATTTACTTTCAAGCCAAGCCATTTATTCTCCACAAAAACCTCCATCTTCAATATTCATCTGCACATGTAAATTAATTCCCAGTGTATTATTCACTTGATTAATATAAATCAAGAAGTGTTGTGAGACCACCAGAGCCCATAAAAAAATTGGCAAAATCTTCTTGATTTTCTTTCTTGGTTGCTGATTGTGGATCATGGAATTGCAGGAAACAATTTATCAATGGTATACCTGTTCTTGGAAAGGTTGAAAGCTTGGACGTGGAGATGAGGAAGAATATTTTGACTCCTTATCATGGGTATGTGAACTAGCATTATTCTGGTGTATCCGGCTTTGGTGCGAATGAAGATGGAATTTCAGATAATACACAGGTTAATATGTTGTATTATTATGTTTCAAATCTATAAACTCTCCATGAAATGGAATTCCATTATATGAAGTTTGTATTGCAGTTAACATTTGTGAATTCTAACCGTATTTTAAGCCTAGACACTACAAATATTTAATAAACTACCATTTCTTGATGGAATATTAGCTGAGACATCAATTCAGTTTGATTTACTAAATCGAGATAGATCAGAGGCATAAAATAATTGGAGATGGTTCATTCAATTTGAAACTTCTCAGGTACTCTTTACAGTATTGCCATTTACGTTTGCCTTCCTTGTTTGGCAATTTAATTGTTATCTGCCCTTTGAACAGTGGGGAAGCCAGCTTGCTCTGGACCAAAATAAGAACTCTTGGTTCATCTACGACACCTTTTCCCAGTTTATGTAAAAAAATTAGAGGGCCTCATGCCAACAAGTTACTGTTCCAGATAATCTGAGCAAAATTAAAGATTATGTATCATCTTTATTTATTTATTTATTTATTTTTCTTATTACTATTTTATTTTATTTTTTCCCTGGTGAAAATGCATCTTGATTGTTAATGGTAGCTCAACTATCAATATTGTATCATCTGATTTCAAAGCATTCCAGTTTACTTGGGCTGTCCATAATTGATGACCGTTCTATTTACCATGTTTATATAGCCACTAAAATTCAGCGCGGAGGTAAATGAATTAGATCTGCACTTCACAAAGGATGTCGACACTTCTAAAGAATAGCTAACTTTATGGTTTTGAATGTCTTCCTCCACTCAATCTTTAGGTACGTGAGTCTTGGGAGCCAGCATGGGAAGTAGAAAGCCTCCGGAAGGACAACTCCACAGGCATTGGGTTCAAAATTCCTAAAGGAAGAGCAATAATTGCCTCAGGATTACGACTTGTTAGGTAATTCTTGTACTCCATTATTAGAAATCAGGCAACTTTCACCATCATGATTTGATGCAATGCTAAAAAGTCATTACTTAATGTGATTCACACTAATCGGGGGTGTTGAGAGGGATACACTGGATACAGACCTATCCTTTGTGGTTATTCACACAAAGGCTCTCATGATTCGAACCAGAGTTTTCATGTTTGATAGCTGAACATTTGCACCAAGCAATGCCCCCTAATTTGACGACAACTTAATTAAGGTTTATCTTCTTTTTTTTTTTCTTTTCTTTTTTTCATTTCTTCAAGGTGGAGGTGCATAATGAAATATATATTAAAAATAAAATCGAGAATATCAAGAAAGTTGGTTATGAATCATAATGCACATTGTGATGGTCTGATTCAGCATTTAATATCGTGTTAAGAGGAATGCTTTGGACAGTCACAATTGTGTGTGTCCAACTTCATTCACACGATGGTCAAACTACGGGACTCTCTTCATCCAATGAATGGGATTGGACACAGTCACTGACTGTCCGTATACTCCTCATCATGTTAAATATCAGTATTGTTGAGTCTACATTTTTAACTCTGTAAAAGCACATTTTTGACAAGCACTAGAATATTCTTGTCAACAATTTTCTTTCCTCGGCCAAATAAGAATAGATTCTTGGTGATGTTTTACAATAAAACACTTCTGTATGTTAACATGTTCTAACATGCATCATAATACTCCATTCGCTACTTGTGTGTGAGAATGTCATGAATTTCTTTCTTCTTTCCTGGTGTAGGGAGGCTTTGATTATGTGCATTCAGTACATTACCAAATCTAGGAATGGAAAAAAGACGAGTCGTTTACGAGAACATCAGTTGGACCTCAAAGAGCAAAAGGACCACGAAATTCCCTTGCAGTGACAGAGTCCTGAACACCATCAACTAAGAATGGCACTGCTGAGACACACTGCAACTAGGCCAAAGGGTGTTGATATGTGCTATCTTCATCTTAATGCTTGAGTCAAACACACAGTTGAGCTTACAAAATCGAGCAAAGAGGACCTCTTTGATATTGAGCTCTCAGTACCGAAGGTTTTAGCCCAGTGGTACTTCCTCATCTTCTAAAGTAGAAGAACGAAAGTTCAAGCCCTCGTAGGGACAAATGGGCATGTAATTGTATTTCTTGTCAAGGCATAGATCGGACGGAACTTGAGTTGGGTGCCACATGTTTTGTGAGTGATCAACTTGGACTGAATTGACCCAAGCAGAACATCATTCATTTTGAAATCATAATGATCAATCGTTACATGTTTGTCAATATCGCATATATGTTCGAAGATTGATGTAATCGATGTCTACACATGAAAATTCAGTTGAAAATTTTAGTTGGACGGAGCCGGACAATTTGGCACAAACTTTTGGATGTTCATTCAAGAATTTCTTTGTCGAATTGGTTGGCTGATACTGCAATTTAATTAATTAGCAGAGAAATAACCAAAATACAAATAATAGTATATTCTTCTCTCTCTATAATAGTATAATGCCAAGAATATCTCTAGCTCTGAAAGACAAAGTAACCCAATTTTTTGAAGTTAAGAATCTAATAATATATTCATGACAACAATCGACACATACATAGGACACCCAACTATTAATCATCTGTAATGGTTTATCTGAATTTTTTAATTAGAGCTACACTAATAATCGGAATTAATCAAGTTGGTAAGCTATAATACCACCAAGAAACTGCTCTTCAATAGGATTTTAAAATCTGGATTTGCATTTGATTAATACGGTTACAGAAATGGCAAAGCAATCTCAACAATTATTTACATAAATATATATGTTTGTGTGTGTGTGTGTGTGTGTGTGTGTGTGTGATTGATCTGACAGCAATTAGAAGAAGCTGCCCAAATGAAGTTGTAGCAGCGTCACTAGTGTTGGTGGAAGTATTGAGAAAAGTCAAACAAATTTGTAAATGCAGATGCCAAGAGGCCTGCTCAGAATCTGATTTTAGTTGAAAAATCTACAAGGCAATGTTTGATAGATATGGAATTGAAATTTTAGGATTGGAATTGGAGAAAAGTAACTCCAAAAATTAAACAAAAGTTTTTTTGGATTCCATCAATTTCAATTTCAAGGTTCCAATTTCATGCCGCTAGGGACGGAGCCAGAATGTAAGGTAGGGGGGTAAAAATGAATTTTGGGGGGCAATAGTGCATTTTTATAGTAATTTTAAGGGGGAAAATGTAATATTTTATGAGTATATTATTAAAAATAAACAAATTATAAAAGTAGAATACTTTAAAAAAAAAAAAAAAAATTCAGTGGGGGCAATATGGATCCGTCCTTACCTCCAAAGGCAGCATAATTACTTTTATCTTAGTATTATTTTCTTTAATTATTAAGATTCTGACTAAGGTAATTATTTTTTTCAGTTGAATTGCTCTGTATTAAAACAGTTACATGAGATAGCCTACTAGTCGGGTGTCAGTTACATGAGACAGCAGATTAGTCCGGTATTGTTAAGATTTGAATTTAAAATCTCATTTGAAGTCTTCACGCTGAAGTTGAGAAAAGCCAAATGGAAGGGCCAAAACCTCTCCTCTCTCTTAACCAGTAGTTCTTGACCTACAATGCAGGACTCAACGAAATGTATTTTTTTTTTTGCTTTCAATATTATTTTATAGATAGTCTTGTCTTATCATTTATCTAGAAAACATGAATACAAATATGACACAATCCGAATACGACAATATAACTGTTGATGTAAAAATTCACAGTTAGAAGTTACTGGAAAACTTTGTATTGAATTTTTTGTCTCTCCTTAAGTTGGTCAACTACTCGTTTTTATAGAAGGATTAATGGTGGTAGTATATTCTAACAACTCCCTCAAACTCAAGGTGGATTATATGAAATTATCTTGAGTTTGGAAACAAGATTCTTGAAGTGCCCTGGCGGAACTGATTTGGTTAAGACAGATCATGAGAAATAATGGACCGCAAATGTAAAATATTCTGAAGAAGATGATGACGAACAAAATGGCAATCGATCTCAATATGTTTGGAATGCTCGTGAAAAACATCATTGTGCGCAATTTGAATTGCACTCATATTATCACAATAGATAAAAGTAGCAATGGATGAAAAAACTCTCACGTCCTGAAAGAGTCAACATAACCACAGAAGCTTAAAAGTAGTATCAGCAAGTGCCCTGTGTTCAGCTTCTGTACTAGATCGAGCAACTATAGTTTGTTTCTTGTTGCACCAAGAGATAAGTGAATTACCAGGAAAGAAACAATAATCTGTGGCGGAACGACGATTTACTTGCCAATCGGCATCTGAATAGGCATGAAGAACAAGCAACGACTGATAAGAAAAGTAAAGCCTATAAAACATGCTGCCTATAATATCTTCTAACAATATATTTGGAAGTCATTGGAGATGGTGGTATTAGTTATTCTTACCTCCTTAAATTTATCTATGCCCTTTGGTTCTCATATCACTTGAACTTCTTAATCAGTCAAATATTCCGTATCAACAACAAGATACTTGTATGTATGGGTAAGATACAGAAATAAAAATAATAATAATTTATAATTTTATAAATACAAAAAATTAATTTTTCATCAATTTTTTTTATAGAAGTTTGTTTCATTAGTCTGGACTTGGTATATTTTTAATTTTTTTATTAACAATCATACTATTATATTATTGTTGAAAATGTTACACTTTAAGATTCAAAACTTATTAAAAATATGTGATACCCCCGAATTTTCGAATGCGGATTGGCCAGGTTCAAGCCCGAATACCCGAAGATATCAAAAACAAATGGCAATAATCGAACACATAATACAAATATGATAAATAGGAATAAATAAAATTACTGAAAGAAAACTAAAACGATAATCCATTAATGAAATCCTCAGAATAAATTTTTATAAATAAGAAAATATTCTGGTACATCCAATCATCCATTACCAATACAACTCGGGAACCTATACTATATGGATCCCTAGAAAAATCCCAACTGAACATGTGACTACTTCATAATACTGAAACACAAAGAAAACTTCTATGAAAATAATCCGGAAGAGTGAGGTAGATGATTCCTGCTCAGCACGAACAATCCCTACTCCAGACGAATACCTGAAAAATGATGGTGAGTCAGGCTCACAAACAAGTTCTATTCTAACTACAGTCCAAACAGAGACCCGATACGTAGATACATCCTAGATAACTCAGCAGTAACTATATAGTCCATAACTATATATATACACACTAAAGGAACTTCACTAAACTATAGAGTGAGTTGCCTCAACCTAAACAGTAGACAATATGCAAAACGCACATATAGTGGGCATGAGTACCTAGACCTACCAGGGCACACAATTACACTATATCTAGCTACACATCCCTGTCAATATACGCACCCTAACCACTGATCTAGAGACTCATGCTCATATCATGACGTATAATTATATATATATAATCCGTCCTATCCAACCATCAAAATAAATTATCCAAATATTATTTTAATAATATGTCATCCAACTGTTCCGTTGACCTGACAAGAAAATAAGTATGACTTAACTTTATTAGTTAATCCATTCCCTTATATGCCCTCATCCCATAATGGTGCATTAATTCACAATATAACCACATAAAAGTTTCTATATCCATATAAAGATGCAAACAACTTCTAATAATTCACACAAATATGATATAAATCATATATACATCATTTACATTTAATTGAGCAAAACTAACAATTCTAAGTATCATGATTTATCTCATAAGAAATTAGCATGCTTCTCATTTAATTGTACTTCTCCACAATTTGATTAAATTTATTTAAATCCAAATAATTGATTTAAATAATTTAACCCAACCCTATTTAATTAATTTAACCTTTTAACTTAAATTCCATACATAGCATGAGTACTTTAAATCATGCAACCCAATTATTAAGGAATCTATTTAAATTAATTAAATATTTAATACAGATCCATCAATCTAAAAATAACAAATATTAATTTAAAATAAATAAATCTATTAAATTCATTTAAAGACAATTAATTTAATTAAATAATTACTCTAAAATACATGGGTATTACATTCTTCCCCCCTAACAAAAGGAATTCCGTTCTCGGAATTCACGAATCCATGAAATGAAAACTTTGATTATTTATTCCACTTTTCATTTTTCCTTTTTTCGTGTGGAAATTAACCCATCCATACAAACCGCAGACATATCTCATAATTTATTAAGAATATGTTAAGCTAATCCATGCTTGTTGCATTTCTTTGCAACCTAATCTCACCAATTTATATGCGTTGGTAATTATCCCCATTGCTGTATTTTCTTACAGCAAAATACAGGAAAACTCCTCTTTCTACACATGACGCAAAATACATATTTATATCCTTGCCAACTCATAAGAAATTACCATGCTTCTCATGTAATTGTATTCTTCCACAATTTGATTAAATTTATTTAAATCCAAATAATTGATTTAAATAATTTAACCCAACCCTATTTAATTAATTTAACCTTTTAACTTAAATTTCATACATAGCATGAGTACTTTAAATCATGCAACCCAATTATTAAGGAATCTATTTAAATTAATTTAAATTCATTTAAAGACAATTTAATTCAATTAAATAATTACTCTAAAATACATGGGTATTACAAAATATGATCGAAGTATTTGAGGAGTATCGAATATGTGATCAAAGTATTTGAGAAGTATAAGATACGTGCTAGAAATTAAAATATATATTTTAAAATTATAAACACATTTAAAAAATATCAAATACATATTTACAAATATTTTAAAAATATTAATATCTAATACGAACACGATAGGAATACGTTATGGATAGTCACCAACTGTGGGAACCATATTATCCAGCTGCACAGTTAGTAAAAGATTACAGGAAATATGAGGTCAACATTTAAGCTATTAGCTTTTTATCTACGAAGCCAATAAAAAGCTCATGAATACAACTCATTGGACATATACAAGGCCCACTCTTATTCTGTGAAGAATACCAACTTGGAAGACAAAATGCGCTAGACAAGTAATATATGCGTAATGTAAAGAGTAAATACACTAGGTAAAGTTATATACCAGATATACATGCATATATATATAATGTTATATAACAACAAAAAGAAGAGTCTAGTCTGAGATTCTGTCCTCTCCCAGAACAAATAATAGGGCATCGTAGAGCTCCGTGAATGGTAGGCAAAGGATGGCATTTGTTGGCCATGAATAGGGGCTCGTGTAAAACAAACAAGTAGATGGAGACAAACCATTTGTTGCTTTGCTATCGATCAGTGTTGAAAATCAACACAGACCATGCATATACTATATATAATACAC